AGACATCTCGGAATTTCCGGCCCGGTGCTCTGCGCGTGCATCCCAGATGCTTTTTTTACCGCATAGCTAGTGCTTACTAATTGCAGAGGGAGCAGTCCGTGTTTCTGCCTCCTCTCTGGTAACAAGACACCCCGATGTGTTAATGGCAGCATCCTACCTTGTTCCTGAGCTCCTCGATGGTCCTGTAGTAGGGGCTGTAGTCGCGGTCTGGACCAGGTCCCTGCTTCTTGTACCATTCCCTGATCTTGACCTCCAGGTCCGTGTTGGCCTCCTCCAGGGCACGCACTTTGTCCAGGTAGGCAGCCAGGCGGTCGTTGAGGTTCTGCATCGTCTCCTTTTCGCCAGCCGGGAGGATGCCATCGCCACCCCCAAAGCCGCCCCCAAAGCCGCCCCCAAAGCCGGCCCCGAAGCCGGCCCCATAGCTGCCCCCAAAGGCGCTGCCGAGGCCCCCTCCTACGCTGCTGCAGTAGCTGCCCCCATAGCCACTGCCGAGCCCCGAGACGATGCGGGAAGAGACAGAGTAGCTGCCAGAGGCTCCGTGGACGCTGGGGGCTCTGTACCCTGCGCCCCCCACGCGCACGGAGGAAAGCCTGCTGGAGCCCCCGCCCAGGCCACCGAGTCCCTTGAGGGAGGTGGAGGAGGAGTATTGCCTGACAGTGGTGGTGCTCATGGCCAAGGCTGGCGGGGCTGGAGGGCTGGCGAGAGACACCCGGCTCGGCAGCGCAGGCAGCGAGTGCTCGCTTCCCCCTGCCTTGAGCCCTTTATAGCCCGGGCGGGAGGCGTTGCCGGCGCTTTTCGTCACCCCTGACAGCCAGAGCCAAATTCCAGGATCATCATTTTTCTCTCCCTGATTTCAGGTCTTTTGTCACATCCCACTAGAAGCAGCACGGCACACTGGGGATCTTCTCCTTCCGCTTTAGTTCCCGGCACCCCGCGTGATTCAGACCCAGCTCCTTGCTCGTGGCTACGTTTTACATTTCACTGTTGCACCTGAGACGCGGAGCCGCTCGCTCCAGCCCCACCCCGCTGCTCCTCCATGAAGTAACACAAGTGAATCCTCTCTGATACACCAAGTTGCCCGCAAGTGTCTTATATCATTAAAAACTACAAATATATTTATTTGGTTTTTTAAAGAGTCTAAAGCCAGCGAAAGCTGCTGACTTAAGAGCTCTGCACATCCATCATCTTTATATGGGGCCGACCCAAAGGCAGATGGAAACTTTCCTGTCCCGGGACAAGCACAGACCTGGTGGTGTTTGTGTGCTGGTACCATATTTGGCAGAAATCTTGTAGCTCAGAAGAGAAGAAGCTCCAGTAATTTCTGCTCGCATACTGGCTGAGGGTGAATCTCTCTGCAGAGACTGCGAAGTCCCTACGACAGGGGGGGTTTCGGGCAGTTTAAAAGGCAGATGCCTGACGCTTCCCAGCAGCACCTGCTTTGCTGCGTCTCCTCTCACGAAGATTTGTAGAACCTAAAAAGTCCCGTGCCCCGCTTCCTTCTATCTCATTGCTATGGCAAGTTTTAACGCTTAAATAGTCTAGATCAGAGAGAAAGGGTCTGAAGCTGCGTTGGACACCCAGCGCCAGGACACGTGCAGCTTCTGACGGGAAGAGTGTTCTCGATCCCTCTCGGTGCTCGTGCCCGTGTTGCTTTTTCTGCAGATCTGCCGCTGCCAGACACGACGCTGACGTAACGCACCAGGCCCAGCAGCGCCCGCATCCAAAGTGCTGATGGGCAAAGGGCAACAGGGGCAGGGAGGCCGCAACCAGCGGGTCGGAGGGGGGCGAGGAGAGGAGCTGCCCGGGGGAGAGGCCCCCGCAGCTCCGCCTGCCTCGGCTATTAAGGGATTGGGTGTAGTGATTATAGTGATGCAGCTGGACAGGTATTAGCGTGAAAAAAAAGCGGCAGAGAACCAGGAAAGGAGACACTGCACTGTTTTATTCTTTGTTGGGGGAAAAAAAAAAAAAATCCCTTTACTGATGTGGCGCCAGCTCTTGCAGTACACAGTGGAAAATCGCACACCCAACCTGCTGGGCTGCCTGGCTCCAGCGATGTCATTCTCTGCTGAGAGAAGTTATTTTTTTCTTTTAGGAGAGGTGCCTGTGAGGTAGTGAGTGTTAGAGAGAGGGATTAGGGACCCTTTTGTGCTTTCTCTCCTTCCTTCCCAGGGCCCCTCTGGCTGTTTTCATATTCTAAGGCAGGCGGCTGTTGCCGGAGCTGTTAGGATGTTCCCAGAGCCTCACCCTTGGTAATTCACGGTGTCTCCTTCCTTTCATCTGCTCCCTGAAGGACACAATAACAACAACGCTTTATCTGCACCACTGTTAGATCTCAAGGGCTTAACATGGAGTCGTGTTCTCTTTCTTCAGCAGCCCCAGGAGCGGTGGTGTGATTCTTCTGGGTGGCCACCCAGGAAGCAGCTTAACCAGAAAGAGACTCCCAGTGCTCCCAGTCTGGGGCTCTAGTCCCGGGCAGAGCTGCCTCCGAACCCATCGGCTTCAGCTTTGGATCTCTGACTCCCCAAGCTGCAAAATCTGGGAGTTTGGGACGCCCCCGTGCCCCAACCCTCGGAGAGCTGGGGGAAGG